GAGAGTTTTCAGTGAATCCTAGGCAAGAACTAGGGAAACAAATGTAAGCTACCTCTTGATTGCAAAATTTATGGCGGAGTCAAAAAACAAAAGATAATACTTAGACAAAACATTTTTAAAAAATAAAAATTAATGCAAAAAAAATGATGGCTCCCCAAAATCTTAATTAAAGTTGGCATTTGATTCTGCTCTTGTACGCTCTGCTTTGCTGTCCCCCCGTAGTCATGGCGGAAGGGGCCCTGACATTACAGACACTTCGCGTGTGTTAGGAGCACCCTACATGAAGCGGTATGTTTGAGAGAAGAGCATGTGACGTCATCATCTCTGCATAGCAATGACAAGGCATGGATTGAGAAGCTTTCTTCTGCAGTGTGACCTGAAGGTATATCTGCTATGTTTCTGAGAGTAGAGACAGTGGCTGAATTTTTTTGTGTACTTACTATGTGCCAGTTGTTCTTGGCACTTTATACAAGTGTTCTCTTTCAGTGCTCACAGTAATCCTATGAAGTAGGTACTGGCATTAGCCCCAAGAAGAGTATGAAGGTTGGAGTTCAGCAGTTTGCTTCAGGGTGTCCACCTAATCAGTAGCTAACCCAGGCTGAAGTTTGCCTTCTCCCCCCAGAGTTTGAGAAATCCCTCATCCTTTGAATTCTTTTAACCCAAAGTCCCTCATTCTTTGTCTGAATTCTGTTAAGCCAAGACTTCGATCCAGTATTGCTTAAATGAGCTGCACGCACCTGGGACAGTCACACACATCTGCGGAATGACCTAGAACAACATAACCTTCCAAAGGAACCTCATTGCAAAGAACTCTTTGTGTTTGATATAATGTTCCTACATGCAATTCCAGAGCTATTCCAATAGAAGTTATTTCCCCACCCCACATGGTTTTTCCTGGCTACTTGGGCTGTTTTCTTCCTTTCTACAATCACTTTGAGAGACCGAAGAACTAAGTGATAATGATGGTTGTGCTGGAGGAGGTGGGGGTAGAAGAGGTGGGCAGCCCTGGGTGTGGGCGTGCCCCGTGCCAAGCGCTGCAACTGGCTGCTCCAGCAGCATTCCGCTTGTCAGATGAGCGGCTCCCGTTTTTTTGCCAGGAAACTGAGTCTTCCAAGACTGTAAATAACGTGCTCAATATCAGACTCTGCCGTGTGGTAGAGCTCGTGCTCGTAACATAGCAGAAAGGAGGAAAGAAGGGGCTGGGGAGATGGCTCAGTGGTCTGAGGCACCTACTTAGAACAAGCTCAGCAAAGCACAGGGACCGCGGTTCAATCCCCCAGCACCACATGCCAGCCAGCCCCGCCCCCTGGTGGGCTGAGCTGGCCACACACACACACACACACACACACACACACACACATACAAATAAAATTTTTTTAAAAAGCAATCATTAAGAAAGGAGGAAAGAAGAGTAAAGAGTGAAGTGGCGAAGTGTTCAGTGAGCCTCCTGTCCAATAGATCTTTCCAGTCTGGTTTGTGGCTAAGAGAACAGTTCCCAACTTCCCAGAGCCCCCAAATCTATGGGTCACAGCCATGATGGGTGTCCCTTTGGGTTCCAAAACAAAAGTGTCCACAATGTCATCCCCTGGGGATGTATTTAAAAGGAGCCTGGCACCTTTAGATTTTCTTTTTCTTGTGTTTTTTCACATTAAATCTTATTTAGGAAGTCCCACATTAATATTCCTGAATTTAGGGGAGGCAGCCAAAGAGTGGTGGTTATACTTAGTATATGTCGTGAACTTTCAATTCAGGTTTCCGCAGATTGAAAGGACATTTGCTGCCCAGGTGTCAGGATGCCTCCCGAAAGGGCATATCTAAACCCAAGACAAAGCAAAATGTTTTATGAATTTCCTCTTTTGACGAACCATAACAAATCTGCTGTATTAGCCTGGATCCCAAGTTCAGCAGACCCGCCTAATAACCACTTTAGGCCCCTGGAGGAGCAGGACCGGCCTGCCATGTGCATGCTGTCCACAGCAGTGGCTGGCTGGCTTCCCAGGGAAGAGAAGCCACCACGGCAGCCCTTTGCAGCCCCCTCTGCAGTGCCTGGACGTGGAGCAGAAACGAGGCCTGGGATCAGGTCTGCGGGCCGGCATGCAACTGCTCCGGGTTAGGGGCCAGCAGGCTGCTGCGCTGTTTCTCTCCAGTGGCGGCCAGTTTAGGGTCGCTGTCTGTGTGAGCTTGGGCAGGCCCCCTCTCAGGCTTTGCTTCCTCCTCTCCCAGGGGTGAGATGGAGGAAGCCTTCCACCTCTCACACTTTCAAGTTCTAGAAGGCAGCACCTCCTGCTTCCTCTGACATCCAAACGCCCGCCTTTAAGCGCCTTTCTGGAAACCCAAGTTAGCGCTGTGCAGCATCCAAAAGTGCCTCCAGTTTCATCTACTGAGCATAAGGTTTGGAAAGGAGCGACCGACTCCCTTTTGCCTCTTTCAATGCGTAGCCAATGGGGCATCATACATTTTTACACTTCCTTTGCTAGATGTGCGATCCAGGAGGAAAAGCATGGATGTTCCAGGGCGCTCTTGCTCTCCTGGGGTGGGAATCTGCAGGCAGGACGCGGGAGCTGTGGCTGCGCGCATTTCCAGCTCGCGTCCCCTCAGCAGCACAGCAGGACTGCTGACAGTGCACTACCTTTTGATTTGTATTTTTATTGTATTATTTTACTATTTATAATCCACTCATGAGTATGGAAACTGCCTACATAAAATGAGGGGGGTGCTAATTTTTTTTTTTTCCTGAAAGGTGGCACGTCTCTCAGCAAAGAGAAAAAGGCATGTTGCGCAAGGCTTGTTGGCAGTGATAGAAGCCAGCGCCGGTTTGCCTGTTGTCACAGCCAAAGCAAAATGCCACCTCTGCCTAGAAGCCAGAGTGCCACACTCCTCGTTTGTGTCCCTGGGATGTACTCATCGTGAGGCCCGGAGCCTGAGGGTTGGCCAGAAGGTCACGGGATTGTTTGAAGGTCACCTTCCAACCCCAGGATGCCAGAGGCAAGGGAGCTCGAGGTTGCTCCGGGTGCTCAAAATGATTTCGAGCCCTGAGATCCCATGTCACATGCAGCCAGGGAAATTCTAGGCCCTGGGTGAGTGCAGAAGAGCCCTCAACTGCCGTGGAATGCGGTGACCCAGGGACAGTCTTCTCCCTGGACTCTCTTCATCAACCCAGATGCAGTCGCAGCAAATGCGCCAAAATCCCATGGCAGGAGGTGCCAAAAACACCTCCCATCAACAACCACTACCCCAAAAAAAAGTTTCAGGAAAATATTCTCACCCCTAGAGGGGAAAACCTGTCCATGCCTCAAGCAGCTTGACCCTCACAATCCCCTCCCTGCATGGCGAGATCTCCACATCGCTAGAAGATTGTCTCCCACCGCCGCCCCCCTCCCTGGCCACCCGCTCCCTAGAGAGGGACAGAAGGCTCCTAAGCCCAACAGTTTCGCCTCCATGATCTTTAAAAGAGCAGAAGCTGGCTGCGAGGCTGCAGCGCTGCCTCCACTGGGCGGTGTGGGCTCTGCTGCGGCTGGCTCCAGGGAGAGCCGCAGTTGGCTGCGCCGGGGAAGGAGCCCGCAGGGAGGATTGCAAGGAGGGCTCGTGCGTGCCATGGCTGAGACAGTGTCGTTTCTTGCAAGGTGAAACTTGGCAGTTCTACCTTGCAAGTAGAAAAGCAAATTAATTTCTTTAAAGAAATTAAGTCAGAAACAAGGCTTCAGAAAAACTGTGAGTGTTAGGCATAAACTGATTTTGGATGATCTTTAGGTGAGAAAGGGTGGAGCTACCATCAGAAACATGTTTTTATTTATGCTTTTCGAATCCCCACTGGTGTGTGATGTGTGTGTGCGTGTGCATGTGTGTACTGGTTAGTGTGAGTGTGCGCATCATCTCGGTTCTCTAACCACTCTTTTTTTTTTTTTTTTTTTTTTTTTTTGCTGCCTTTCTAGACGCAGTTCATAGAGGTGCCCTATAAATAAAAAAAAAAGTAGGTCCATCCACACCTTTGCATTTTATTTGTAAATTGTTTGGTACACACAGCAGAGCGTAAGGAAACCTGGAGAAGTTTAAAAGATGAGATTTTTTTTTCCATCCTGACACTTCATAACACTGTTCATATGTCTATGAGTGAGATTTATGAATATATGAGCAGCACTGCAAAATTATACTGCACCAGAGACTTCCTGCGCCACAGGGGTGGCAGTCTAAAGTGACACCGCTTCAAGCATTTTTCACAGACATGAAGCAAAATTTAACCCCCTTAAGGGGAAGTATGATTTCAACAGCTTGAAATGAGCTCATTTGTAGATGGTTCTCTCTCTCTCTCTCTCTCTCTCTCTCTCTCTCTCTCTCTCTCTCTCCTCCCATAATAATAATTTTTGGTGTTAACATTAAGACAGATTGCACAACCAATGTAAGGGCACAGAAGCTGCCCAGAGTACAGTTTGGCTGCTACAGTGAAATCCTCACACATTGCCTTCACAGGGAACATCCCAATCGGGTACATGAAGGACAGCATGCCCCTCCATTCCTCAGGCTCCCAGCCTGACTCCCAGAATTGCATGTAGTAGACAAGGGCCCAGGATTTTGAAGAGGTAAGCGGCAGTGGCCACTCCTCAGTTACAGTTAGATGGGTGCCTTCCAGGAGCACCCATTTCTGGGCACAGTAGGCAATGGCACCAAGCAATCAGCACTGCCCGGAATCGCAACTGAGTGAAACTAGCCAATTACAGAAAGAAACAGCAGAGCTAAAGATGGTCTCTAAGAATACACTGTATCCAAAATGTCTAGAGTAGAGGTGTTCAAAGCCAACTCCAGACCACTCTCATTTGGACTGATCCAGCAGCACCTTGTGCTTTGGTGTAAATTAATGTTCATGATCTCTGTCCTCTCAAACTCTCATTAACCGTTCTTGTTTTCCCTGGAACAGAAGGGGTTGCTCAGCCATGGCCTGGTCCCTCTTTGCCCTCCTTAGACTCCATGACGTGTTGGCTGGAGAACTCTTGTCTCTTTTTCAGCAATGGTACAACAGCTCCATGAATGTCATCTGTACCTGGCTGACGGACCGGATGGACTTGCAGCTTCACATATATCAGTTGAAAACACTAATTAGGATGGTAAAGGTAAAAGAACAAAAATAATTATTCTTCATTGCAAATAGCCTGCTGAAATACCCTTCGTTGCCATGCCGCAGGACAGCCATCACACAAAGAGCATTGTTCATGTGTGCAGCATGAATTTCTAGACTAGAATCTCCCACGAAGAAAAAGCTCAGCCATCACTTTGTTACGCCTGGTTCATTTCATACTCACACACCAAGAAAACTTTAGTGAAATGGAATTTGATATCTTTATCCAGACCCCCCTCCAAAAAAAAAAACTTTATTTGCCTTGCAAAAAAAAAAAAAAAAAAAAAGCGCCACAAAGGCCGTCAGACCCTTTGCATTAGACTTTCAAAAGCTGGCGTTTGGTGTCATTTTGCTAATCACCTAAATTACCCATTTCATTCATGGCTTAATGAAATAAAATTTTGTCACAATTAATTTCATGGAAATATTTACTTCCAGCCATTTCTAAATATGTCCTGTGATCATTATCAGAATGCAAATCAATATTGTTCTCATAGTTAATTGAAGTAGTTTCTCTCACGACGCGTGTATACAATCAAATGTAAAGGATCACAAAGGTGAGATAACGTGCCCTGAAAGTCGCTTTCTTTCCCGCTCTTCTGTGCGCGCCTTGGCCTAATGATAATTATTTCAGCGTGAAATCTCAGAGGCTTACATGAAATAATAAGACCACAGAAGGGGCTGCATACGTTTCTGATCGGTTCAGTTTCCATTTGATGCCTCACTGTAGAGGGTTTTTAAACACTCCTGTGCAGAATTCCCATTCAAAGCAGTTTTAACTCCTTTAAAATATTGTAACCGTCTCCGTAGCTAGATTCCTGTTTGTTAGCAGTTTGCCCAAAGTCTCCCGCACAGCAGCCACCCCCTATTCTCCAGCTCTCTTGGTCTCTGGGATAGCACCCTCCCCTTCAAGGTCCCCCCCCCCCCGCGGACTTAAACCCAATTACCTTTCTGCTGTGTGTAATTAAGGAGAACCATTGTCCTTCACATTGGATCTCACAAAGCATCTGCCTAGAAAAGGTTACAGGCAGAGGTATAGGACAGCTCTTAAAGAAAAAAAACCACACTCCAACTAAGGACCCGGCTGAATGTTCCATGTTTATTTGTTTCCTAGGGCAAACCCACTAGCCGTTGCATGACCACTTAAGTCCATTTTCTCGATATAAATATGCTCTTAGGAGAGAGCAATTCCCATTTGCCCTTTACTGGGTAATCATGAAAATACGAACATTTGAATATTCTTAAATGATCTCCCCAGAACACGTATTTCCAGATCTGTTTTCCTCTATTTTATTGAGGAAAAAAAAAATGTCAGCGAGGAGGCTCATCTTCTCCCTCTGCTGAACACGCAGACACACCCCACTGAGGGGTGCTACAGAGATGTCGTTGCCCAAGGGATCTTTATGCTCGCAAGTATTAGCCCGCGCCTCCGGAAGCCCACACCACAGGGGGAGGGGGCAGCACTCACCTCCTTGGCACCAACAGCACACGACCAAGACTTGATTCTCCATCCATCCACTCATCACTCAGAAAGCCCATCTTCATTCGGCCAACAACGGGGACAGATGCAGAGAGCCCCTCCTCGTGTAAGACCTGATGCAAGAGTCAAAAGTGGCCAGAGGTGGCCCCTGCCCTCGCGAGCGAGATCTAGTTAGACTGCACACAGGGCCATATCCTAGAATTCAAATAGAGGGCAGACTACTCGGGCACATCTACCTGTAGTGTTCCCATCCTGTCCTGGTAACAATTGTGTTTTTCAAAATTGCCATGAAACAGCTGACTGAGAAGTTGGGAAAGCTCAGCTGGGGACCTGGCTGGTCTACCCCACTGACCAGCCCCTTGCTTTTCCCCATCAAGGTGGGGGCGGTGAGCAGCTACCAGGCTGCGTCCTCCTCCTGAGAGCCTATGGCTTGCTCCAGGATTAGGATGACCTCGCAATGGAGTGCCTTGGCCAGGTCACTCTTAAGAAGGCATGAGGGCATGATCCTGCTGGAACAGCGGGCATAAAGCACAAAGGCAACACACGGCAGCCCCCATAATCCCCCTGGGTCAGGCAGCACCAAGCCACACCACTCCCTCACCACGATCTCTGTGGTCACAGCAATATCTGGCCTCCGAAGGGGTTGACCTTGTGACTGCTGCACTCCTGCTACTCCAGCAGGAGGCTTAGACATAATGTGGGAGTGACACTGGAATATGCTAACTTTCTTTTGCCTCTTTGTCAAGTTTCTTATATCAGTAGAGAAAGCAAACAGGGGAATCAGGCACTGAAATGATATGCAGTGTGATAAGAGTTGTAGTTAGAAAGGGTTCTTTTTAAAAAATAATAATAAATTACGAAGTAGACAACAGCCAGATGCTTCTGGTCATGTTCAATTAACACTAAGGGATTTCTAGGAAAATAAAAAAAAAAAAAAACAAAAAAAAACAGCCCTTAGGATACCTAAGGAAATCCGAGAGAAATCGCCTGAAGGAACAAAGGAAGAACTTGTGGTGCGGCAATACCAAACCATTGTTCTTGAAAAAGAGCCAAGTTTCTTCCCTGAGTGCATAAAGTTGCAAACGGAATAGATACAGTTCTTTCCCAAGGAGATGAGATCCGAGTCACATGCTTGCAACATATTGATGAGGCATTAGCGCGCCATCTTTCCCGTCATTGTGGCTGCCTGTAATAGGTTTCATATACCAACATGCATATGTCTATCTTGTGAGCGAGACAGAGGGATGCGGCTCATGCAATTACAAGGCTCGAAAATCCTAAAGACCAGACTGCAACAGAAATCACAAATAACACAATCACTCCATCTATCATTTATATGTTATAGCCCCTCACACTGTCAATCATAATATGTTATATTAACCTAAGAGAAAGAAACAGACAGAAAAAAAAGAACCAAAACAATTATGGAACATTTCCCTGTGCAGAACTGAATAAACACACACTTATGTTCTCTGCTTTGTCTCATCTAATACAGTTTATCCTGTCACCATTTCTCATTTTCTGTCATTCAGGGAGGCTCAGATTTCAGTACAAAATGCGATCTGAGCATGGTGGCCTTTTTAGTTGGCACCAAAGGAAAAGTGACATTAGCCGGAGGTCGGCCCCCCCACACGCCTCCCGGGGCTGAGCTCTTCCTCATCGCTGTATCTTTTCCCTCCTCAGAAAACCTACAGAGATTTCCGATTGCAAGGGGTCCTGGATTCCACACTGAACAGCAAGACCTACGAGACCATCCGGAACCGGCTCACTGTGGAGGAGGCCACGGCGTCTGTGAGCGAGGGCGGGGGCCTGCAGGGCATCAGCATGAGGGACAGCGATGAGGAGGATGAGGAAGACGACTAGGCCACTCTGGCCTGGAATCCGCTGGGACAGAGTCCTGTAATCAATGCATGTCCTTAGTCTGTTAGTTAATCCACTCGGGAACTCTCTGTCAATCCCATGCCCATGAGACGTTTACCAGTACAGTTGTCATCTTAGCTCTGTGGTACCAAGTTAGCAGCTGACCTTCAGACCCGCTGGTTTTCTTATTTTCCTGTCCGTATGTTTACAAGCAATATGGAGCACCATTCTTTCAATGCCGTCCACAGAGAACACAGTCAGCTCTGAGGCCCAGGCGCAGCAGCCTCGGCCAAGCGCGATGATGCTTTGTGCTCAGTATCGCGTATGCGCCGCTAGTACCAGGGTGTGAGGGCGCGTGTGCTGAGTACTCTGACTTCTCTGTTCATGTATGTGGATGCCAGTTATTTTGATGAGTACATAAATAAATTAATTTAATGAAGCACATAGATTTGCTTTGTTTTCATTGACAAGCCAAAGGCAAGGCTCCAACAGCCAACTTTTGGTTCTTTCTGTTCCCCTAAAACTAAAACGGAAGCTGGCCCCTGCAGCCCTGTCAGCTTATCTTTTCGTTTATCTATGTAGCCAAAAGAAAGAAGGCTGCACACCGACAGGTTGGTTTTCCCGCCCCGGCAAGGGGCTGTCCTGTCATGCTTGGGGCATGGTGGCTATCTCCCATCAGAGTTTATCCTATTAAATGTCACATTTTGCTTTTGTTTCAATATCTCTATGTATTTAAAAATAAACTAAATATTTAAATTATAACCCTAGACTATAAATGTGTTTATAAGAAGATACAGATATTTCCTTCAGTAGATTATAACCATAATTTAAATTATTTTGTTCTACACTGTTTTTTATATCTGTCATGTACCTTGCATTTGATCTTTGACTGTGTGGCCCTGGGGTCTGCTGCGGCGCTCCTTCTGTCTGTGTAAAGTAGTGGATTCATCTTGCTTCTGCCTTATATAGAGCCTACAGTTATGAGAGTGTGGGAAACTGTGGCTGCTCAATAAATACCTATTCAAATGTCATAAGAATATACGTTTGGGTCTGTCTTCCTCCATCTCTGACAGCCACAAGTGAAATGCAAGAAGCAGAAGGAGATAGAAAAGGGGAGGGAAGAGGTCATTTTTCTGGAGGATTCTTGACACGGTCGGAGCAAGTCATTTCCAAATGTGTGTAGTTCTCCGGGAAAGACTGCCTAGAATGCCATTAATTCAGACTCCACTAATTCCGGAGCTGTGGGCATTTGGACATGTTGGGCAGATTATGCTTGCATTATAGGATAAATAAGGGTTTGCTGAGCAAGTGCGTAGTGTAAACGAGAGAAGTGTTTCTCCTGTATGAAGGGAAGGCCAACAAACTGTTTTTAAGCACCACTTTAACAGCAGTGTTTGCATTCAAACAAAGTGTGTGCCAATTATATATGATTCTTATATATTTGTTAAAGCATTTTACAAGCTTCTCTAAGATATGGAATGTTCCTCTCACTCCCAGTCCCTGTCAGCAACACAATCACCTTGCTTTGGACAAAATCAAACACGCCCAGCCTGCTTTGCTTTCTTGTGTCTGTCAGTAAACCAGGCTGACCTGTGCAGACAGTGCCTCCCCCTGAGCTGAGTTCTTAGGATGCTCAGGTGCAAAGCAGCAGGACTCGCCGCCCTCAAGGGCGTACGTTAAAACCCACTTAGTGAGCAGCTATTCTGCACCAGGCATTCTGCAGATGTTAAGCCACTCAAATCTCCTAAAAATCGACAGAAGAGAGAAATAGTAATCTCTTCATCATCAATGGAGAAATTAAGGTCAAAATGTTAAGCTAAGTTGCCAAAAGATCACACAACTCCATGCAGAAGCATTAGTCTAGAGAAAGTAGAGAAAGAAAGAAAAAGAAAGGAAAGAAAGAAAGAAAGAAAGAAAGAAAGAAAGAAAGAAGGAAGAAGCTGGGAGTACAAATGTTGAGAGTATAACAAGTCTTCCAGTATGAAAATGTTTAGTTGCTCAGTAATATGTAAGTCAGAGTAGCAATGCCAGCACTCTTAAAAATATTTTCATCATATTTTGAGTTGCAAAATTAAATGGTATTTCTTCAACAATTACAAACAATTCAAAAATGTGGAAAATTAAGAGGAAGCACCTGCCAACATATAAGCATTGGAGAAAGGAAGAAAATGTTCAGGAGTGTGGAGAGGCATTGAGTGAGCAGCTCACATAACCAAAGAGCACATTCCAAAAGGCAGAAAAAGAACCATGTCATAAAAAACATCCTCTCCGGAGGCCAGGGAGATAGCTTAGTGGATAAGTGCTTGCCTGGCAAGCACAAGGTCCTGAGTTCAATCCCGGGTACCACCAAAAAAACCCAAAACTCACAAACAATGTTATCTCCAGAACCAAGGTGAGAGAAACCAATATTCCATCAAAGGAAACCCACCATCGTCTACCCATGAAGAAACAGCATCCTTTAGTGTGGCAATATGGAAGGGCAAGGAAAGGAAGTGACCTCAGAAGAGGTAAGAGAAAAAGCCCAGACTAAGCTTATCGCTTAGGCTATCCTCACCATCCACACAAAGCTGAGACAGGTCCCTTTTTAATGTAATGTACAGCTAGAACAATACACAAATACCGAGCATACAGCTCACTGCTCTACCATGAGGTAAACACACCCATGGATCAGGGACCAAGAAACAGAACACACCGAACAGTCCTGGCTTGCCCTGTGCCACATGCCTGCCCTGCCTCTGCCCCTTTCTTCCCCAGATTAACTGCCATCCTGATTTCTAACAGCATAGAGAAGCTTGCCTGCTTTCAATCTTCATGCAATTGACAGTTACAGGACATACTCATATTTGGCTTCTTTTGCTCTACCTGACATCATTAGAGTTGCTGTGGTGCATTTCTTACTGCTTTGGGGTGTGTGTGTGTGTGTGTGTGTGTGTGTGTGTGTGTGTGTGTGTGTGTGTGTTACTGGGGACCGAACCCAAGTCTCACACAGGCTAGGCAACCACTCTATCACTGAGCTACATCTACAGTCCTTTTTGTTTTATTTTGAGATAAGGTCTCACTAAGTTACCTGCTCCCAAACATGCAATCTCCTGCTTCAGCCCCCGGAGTAGCTGGCATGACAGGCATGTACCACCATGCCTAGCTTATTGATCTATGAATATACCACAATTGATCTATTCATGTTAAAAGGCTGCTTTCCATTTGGGGCCATTTGGCCAGGCCCTGGGGCCAGGCTATGTTTGTTTCTAGAAGATGCTGCAGAAAGTGAACACAGTTGTTGCACGCTCGCCAGCAGAGTCACTCTGTTGCCTGTCCTCAGCTGCATTAGGCATTGTCGTTCCTTAAAGTTCACCATGCTGCTAAGTGGTGTGGTAGTTCCTAATTGTAACTCACGGATAAACAAAAGTGGAGTTGGTTGTCTTTTACCAAATGCACTGCCTTGGCAATCTGGAGAGCCTCTTTTGTGAAGTGTTTTGTTTGTCCTTTTCCCTTCTAAAGAAGAAAACTCTAGAGCCATTTGAAGGCTGGAGGGGAAGAGGCCAGAGGAGAAAGTGCCAGATAAACAGCGACTTCGAGCAAAACCTTAACCTGATGGAAATGCATCGCCAGAGTAAGAGCAGCCCACCCACAGCTCCGGGCACTGCGGCCAGGCCCCAGGCAGGAAATACCCTGCCCAGCCCCCTCCTCTGCCCCTGAGGACACAACCCTTCTCAAAGACAAGTGTGTGTGGCCCTGCTGTGATTAAAGTGGTGGCCCCCACCTTTCTCAATGAATGAGGCACAAACTGCCTGAGATGAAATACATACCCTGAACCTCACCTACCCCTCCAAGCTCCTCCCTCTGTTCCCCTCCCCCTGGAGACCATCGCACTCAGCCTGCTCCCTTCCTGCTGAGCATTCCTGGTCTGCTCACCTGGAGTCCTCTCCTGAACCAGCGACTCCTCCTTCAAGTCCCAGCTCCCTCTGGCTTCTCCACGGAAGGCCTGTGAGGCTCCACCCTTCACTCTGAAGGCCTGTCCAGTCCACAGGCCCTAAGGGCCCTCTGGCTGTCCCCCTCTTCTGCTCAGGTTTCTCTCCTCCTCTGCGCTTCCTGACCCCTTCTCCCCTTCAAGTGCCCCAGCTTGCCTGCTCTCCCTGGCTGCTCACAAAGGTGGATTAACATGGAGCACAGGCCAGAAGGGCACAGATGGAAAGACCGAGTGCCCTTCTCCTAGAGCCAGTCTCCTGCAGACTAAATGTCCCAAGATTCAGAACAGGGAGGACGGGAAGGCTCCCTGGGGAGGCAGGCCTGGATGGGGACATTCTCCTGTGGGTTCCCAGGGCACAAGGAACACTCTGTGAGCACAGCCTGACTTAAGGCATTGAAGGACACCCAGGGGTGGGGCCTGCTCGGTGCTAGGCACACAGCTTCCAGGAGATGGGTGCGGGGCTGGGGATGGGGTTGGGAGTAAGAAGAGAGAACAGTCATCAAAGGAAGATATTAGTTTCCTTCAGCTTGGGTCTGCTACTCTACAGAGCTAAAAGTGAAGCAATACTTTTATTTCTCTCACACATTAGAAGAAATTTTAATTTTTTTTAATTTATGTATTTGATACAGGGTCTCACTACACAGCTCAGACTCCCCAACACTGGAATTACAGGCATGCATCACCATGCCCAGTTTCAGTGGCCAGTGTGGTGAGCCCAGCGTTCCAGGCCCAGCACGGCATGCAGCACTGGGAATCCTTGCATTTGCTGGGCAGGGGCTTAGACCTCTGAGCTATCACCCCCAGCCCTGGAAGAAATTTTTTGAGTTAAAAATATTAAGGAGGGGCCAGCGAGATAGCTCAGCAGACTAAGCGCCTGCTTAGGCAAGCATAGGGACCAGGGTTCAATTCCTGGCACCACATGCCATGCCGGCCCCACCCCTGGGTGTCCTGAGCTGGCCACTGAGTCTGGGCAGAGTGGCACACACCTGTAATCCCAGGGCTGGGGAGGCTGGAAACAGGAGGAGCATTATGAGTTGGAACTGCGCAGTGAGACCCTGTATCAAATACATTAAAAAAAAAAAAAATCAGAGAATAGAATTATGAGACAAAAAGTTGAAGCTTCCCCCCACCAGCCCATTTCCCTCAAGTAGCCACTGCTGACAGATGGGCAAATAGCCTCCAGATACGTTCCGGTCTTAGGCAAGAATGTGTCATGTGTATTACGTATTTCCACAAGTGGGGATCATCCAAGCCTAATATTCACAGCGCCCATTCTGTATTTACAAATGGGTCGCCTATAAGGCTGCACAGGCAGACTTTCTGTATTTCTTTGGGAAAGGGTATGACGTGTACGTGAGCGGTGAGTGTGACATGTCTAAGGAGGTTTTTCTGGTCAAGGACACAATGGGAGCAAAGTAAGGTCAATCAAAAGCCCAGGATGAAATGAGGATGGATCCAACACAATGGAGGAATGAGCCATCTGGAGAAGTGGCCGGGGCTTGCTGAAAACGTGTGACTGAGGAGTCTCTAGGACAGCCTGGTCCGGGAACAGCTGGGCCACGCTGTCTTCAGTTTTCTGTTTATGTGTGTGTCTTTCTGCTACGTGGCCGGCAGCTCAAGGTCAGCAATTGTGTGTCCCTGTTCGTATGCCAGTCTGGTGCTTCGGATTCAGCAGGCACTCAATAAATGTTGCTGGCCCCAGCAGGCCAACATCACACGGACACACAAGAATGACCACGACCAAGAAAGCGTAA